AGTGTAGAGTGTAGATGTCCTATGCCCTATATGCACTATGTCCTATGTCTTATTTAGTATTCATTGCACTATGTACCATGATTAACTTGGTCTTATTTGGAAATACCTTCAATGTTATGACTTCATTTTCTCCAATTGTTAATTAATTTTTTTCAAGACAAAATTTATGATAACTTTTAAAAAACCAGATATTGTAACAGTTAATCTAAAGATAAAATATTAATTGACGTCACTACCTGAAAGCGAGCTGGGCGCACTGCAAATATCTCATTCCTGGCTCCCTTGGTGTATCCGTTCATATTCACCAGAATATGGATTCCATACTGATAAATCCTGTCATCTGCTTTACTGTTACACTGCACGGCAGAGAGATCAGTGAGAGATCGGTGAGAGAAATAACAGAAAATCTCGACATAGGATCTAAAAAGATTTATTTATTTTGAGGGAAAAAATATTAAAATAAATTAAAGCCTCCCTTATAAATCTAAATATCTTATGAGACACTCTGGACTGCCATCCAGCTTAAATCTCGGCTGGATCAATGATGTGAAAAATTTCAGGATAGATTAAGAATAGAACTGGTTTCTGAAATTATCTTGTTTCTTCATAATGCTCATGACATTTACAGAGGGTACTTAAAACTTTTTTTTCAGGGGGGATGGGGCTCAGAACCCTTTGTGGTCGGAAACCCCCCAAGATTTAACTTAACCAGGGCTGATTGCTGAGTAATGTTATGAAGGTGGAGTGTGGATAAGTAATGTTATAAAAGGGGGACGGGGTAATTGCCCCCCCCCCTCTATTAGGCCTCCGTGTGTCAAGATATTTGAACTACAAACTACAAACAATGTTTAACTATAGATATATTTACTTTTAATAGTAAAATCTACAAACTTTGCTTTGTTCCGGAGCGGTCGATTTTGGCCATTAAAAAATCCTGTGTTGACAAAGCGGTCGATATCGACCGCTGTCACAATCTATAAAACTATGCATTGTATGAAAAAAATAAAAATATTTCTGTTCCTCAGGGAACATTTCTAAAATAAATTGAAAATTTCAAAAAAATATTTTGAAAAATATTAAGTTCGGACATAGACTGTTAATATTCATAATATAAATAATCTAATCGTGACTGATTGTGTTTTTTCAGTTTCACGGCTTAGAGCTATTGTTCTTGTTTCTTTAGACTTAATAAATAAGATTAAGCAAGACTCTAGTGTATAAACGAGGTGCGCTGGTGAAAGATGTATGCCCATCTTAATGTTATTAGTATGAATGCCTGTGGATCTAAGGTATTGGTATTCTTAGTTCTATCCTAGACCTTGAAAATGGCACATACAGTCCTTTGATGGATTCATTCTTTTTTTTCCTCTGTATATTAATTAAAAAATCCATAATTTTACTCCCAAAAGAAATAAATTAGCGCCTTAATTTCACCCAAATATCTAGTTTTTCATGGTAAATTTGATTCTTTATTATTAAAAATACTCCTTTTCCCAATAGTCTATAAGGTTTCTACCTGAAGAGCTCCAATAACAGCACTCTGGAACCCGAGATTGGTCTTGACATCATGGGCGATCTCCCTTATCAGACACTGGAAGGGGAGCTTACAGATGAGGAGCTATTTGGACCTCTGGTAACTTCTGATCTCCCTGAGGGCGACTGTACTGGGCCTGCATCCGCTTCTAAATTAAATGGATCCTAAGCACTACTGCAGGGTAACCAACCAAAATTTAGAAAAAGACAAAGTGTCCATAAAACTTCAGGCACATGGTGTCCCACATCATGTTAGACCGAGAACGGAAATTACGATTTTCGGGACTAATCAGAAAATTTAATTAGAATGAATCATTTAATAAAATAACATAATGCTTATATAAGAATTTACTTGCGGAAAATGATAGGTTGATCCGAGTGTTAATGATTTATTTTGTTGTTAAAGATTGGAGATAATCTAATATGATTTGGTACACTCTGTATATTAATGTGCCGAATCCGAATCTAATTTCTTTCAAGACGTGGGATTCATTTCAAGGACTGATCCCAGATCCTGATCAGCATTAAAATGGAATGGACCCTAAGCACTATAATGAAGTTTGAGGAAGATATTGGAGTCTTGTCGAGCTTCTTAAATTAGTACTAGTAGTAGAAAAACTTAAAAAGAGGACACGACAAAAAAAAAAATCCGCAAAATCCACGAACCCTCGAGTTTATCATTGAATCCCCTCTTTAAAAAGGAATGTCATTTACTCTCAGACAAATAAGAATCATTTAATCCCAAGGGGGTTTTAATTTCCATTGATTCTAATTTGTCTGAGAGTAAATGACATTCCTTTTTAAAGAGTGGATTCAATGATAAACCCGAGGGCTTGCTGATTTTGCGGATTTTTTTTGCCTTTGTAGATTTTCAAAGTATCTTTCAATGAAAATATCCCCGCGGGATTAAATGAAAATTGTTGCATACCAAAAAACCAGCTTTTTAAAATGAATGTGCAATGTACAATGTACAATTTATAATGTACAATGTACAATATCAATTCAATAATTGGTTTAGTGACCCCCATTTATTAAGGTTTAGTGACCCACCATTTATTAAGGTTTAGTGACCTACCATTTATTAAGGCTTAGTGAGCCCCTTTTTATTAAGGTTTAGTGACCCACCATTTATTAAGGTTTAGTGACCTACCATTTATTAAGGCTTAGTGAGCCCCTTTTTATTAAGGTTTGGTGACCCACCATTTATTAAGGTTTAGTGACCCACCAATTATTAAGGTTTAGTGACCCCCATTTATTAACGTTTAGTGACCCACCATTTATTAAGTGTTAATTTTTGTTGTACTTTTTATACCGATTTCTGAGCAAAAGTAATTAGATATAATATTTCAAATAAATTTTTTTTTCAATTGCAGTTTTCTAGTAAAGCAACCTGCAGGATTTTGCAGACAGAAAATAAAGGAAATTTTCACATACGTAGATAAATTTTTTACATAAAAAAATATCTTTTTATTTGCGTTTCTCTAGAAAAGCAACCTGTGTAATTTTGCAGGCACGAAAATGAAGAAAATTTTCAGAATTTAACACTTTTTAGGTAAAAAATGACAATATTTTCCTTGTTGAGCCCATATAAAATAGAACAAACGGAAATTTAAGTTGTTCTAACCCATTTATCAATATTAACTCACAACAACAATAAATCATTAAAGATGGTATTCACATTTACCATCCTATCCTTTATTATTTCAATAATGTACTAAAAGTTCAAAATTAGCGTTTAACAGAGTGAGATTTAGAATGATTTAATTTGTAGAACCCTCCTAAGATGTGAAAATTGATTGTTCCGAGCATTTTTTTTAAAAAGTATTTTACGTGCATTGTTAAAAAATATTATTTGGCTAGAAGCTGTGTCCACAAAAAGATGAAAAAAAATAGAAAAAAATAGTTGAGGATGATTTGCGTCTATTAAATATAATTAAGTGTCTCGGTTCCGTCCTAGAGAACGATATTTGCCCCCCACACCCTCCTATCAATGTTGTACATAACCACTTTTTCTACAATTTTCAATTAAATTAATATTTATTTAGGGTTAGGTTAAGAAACTTTCTGGGCCTAGTGCTGCGGCTAGGACAGGCTAGGGGGCCGAGCGCTGCGGCCACGGGTTAGGTTAAGTTATGACACTTTCCGGGCCGAGCGCTGCGGCCGCATGTCTTTGCATTTAAGATCCATGTACAAAATTGATAGTAGGGAGGAGGGGGAGGGTGGTCCAAACATCGTTCTCTAGGAAATTACGTAGTATCTCTTTGCCTACTTAGCGATGTATTGTTAAAAAAGGCTAAAACATTTCTCTAGGGTCCTTGCTTATGATATGAGAGTGTAGAGTGTAGAGTGTAGAGTGTAGAGTGTAGAGTGTAGAGTGTTTTAGGGTTAGGAATTAGGTTAAGACACCGAGTACTGTGGCTAGGACAGGCTAGGGAGCCGAGCGCTGCGGCCATGGGTTAAAATAAGTCATGACACTTTCTGGGCTGAGTGCTGCGGCAAGGATAGGCTAGGGGGCCGAGCGCTGCGCCCAAATGTCTTACATCTTAATAGGAGGGGGGGGGGGTCCCAAAATAGTTCTCTAGGAAATTACCTTGGCAGCTATATTATAATAATAATAAAAACACAAATTTACTAAGTTCGTCATGTACAAAATCGATAGGGGGGGGGGGCTGGGGGGCCAAAAATCGTTCACTACATGTCAAAGGTTAAGACGGTATGTTAAGAGAATAATAATATAGAATAAAGGCTAAAATATTGGAATGGTTTAGCACCAACCTCCAACCCCCCCCCCCCCCC